AGGGCATAGATTAGAAAATCCATTATAAATTTCTCCAAAAAAAGAATAACTAGAAAGTTTATTTCACTTGCAGCTACATCCTTATCACTTTTATCCATCCAGGATGATGATGCATCATGTGACTGTTATCTATGAACTTAATTATGGGGAGACAGAAGTGAAGCAATGTATTCATCAAGCATGGCCTTTTTGGTTGTAATTTGGAGTATTCTCTCTGTATTAAGAGGAACAGCAGAACATATTCTTCATTTAAAGGAGCTTTCTTTCTTTAAAAATGAAATTTGGATTAGGAACTGTAACATCCCCTTTTGATAAACCTTTCAAGTAGGGAAATGTCATAAAAATAGCAGAAAATATCTATAGAATCAAAAGGCTCATTTTATATACCATTCCCATGCTCAATAATAGTACAAAATAGATCGAAAATTATAAAGCCAAATGGAAGTTTTGGGCATATACAGATTTACCTTATTGATATTTCGAGACACAGTTTATGGTTAGCATAGGACCTCCACCCCACAAAAAAATTCTTAGGAACAACAGCTACTCTTTACTATTACCATCTAAAATGGTGTGAATAACACCATGAGCTTACAACCTAGTAAGCATAATTCTTAATCTTAAGTTAAGTTGATAATCTAATCTTAGTATTTTATGTAGAAAATATTTCCTTTAGTTCCTAGTTGTACTGGCCTTATTGAAAATTAAGGCATTGCGGCCACAAAATAATCACACGGACACAACACATCAAATATAAATAACACAAACTATGGAGTTCACTGAATGTGCATGCACTTACCTTAGGTGCCAGAGCTAATCATAGCACTTACCTACTGCACAGAGTTTCACTAGTTCACTATTCTAATCCCCAAGCCTAGGCTGGGGTCCAAACTCTCCATAGTTCTAAGACAATTACATCACAGAACCATAAATAGCACATAATCATGCATAACAGATTCAATGTTTACTTAATATGGTCTGTAAACTAATAGAAATAGGCTATAATGAAGTGCTCAAGTCAAATACACACAGCATAATCCATAAAAGGTGATACACATAACATATTAATCTCAAAACTTGAACTATAAAAATTTCACAGTTTCAGCACATGAAATTTCTAGTTCAACTTACTTCTATATTTATTCCTCCGTGTTATATAATTTACATTGCAACACCTTATTTTCTTTTGTATATTCTGTCTAATTTATTTAGCTTCTTATTTTGTTTGACAACTTTGATTTAAAATTAAGAGCCACATTTACCACACACTTTGTTCAAAGTGCTGAGCTTGGCAGAATTCTTCAAGATTATCCAAGTCCGCCCAGCCTATTTGCACCTTCTTTCTCCTTCTCCTTCGGTCTTGCACCTTCTTTCTCCTTCTCCTTCGGTCTTGCACCTTCTTTCTCCTTCTCCTTCGGTCTTGCACCTTCTTTCTCCTTCTCCTTCGGTCTAGCTAGAAGCAAAATGCAAGAGAATGACTAATTTAATTAGATAACTGAAAACCTCCAGTCAAGTAGGTCTTAAATGTTCCACCACTTGGCCCACTTCTCATTCAACCACCTGTCATTTATTTTAACAGATTATAGACAGCTGAACTGCACTAACCCTCCCCTAAAATAGACACCTGGTCTACAGTTTATTAAAATAACATGCAATCCCATAATTAACAAATATTATAGATTAGTTCCTAATTTTAGATGAAATGAAGGACTCTAACTTTAGACTCAATACAAATAAAGACCTATTTTCTTTAACTAATTGCAAATAAGGACTGGGATATCACAGGAACTTGTCATGCCGCTTCATTTTGTTTTGAGATGATGGTGATCTTAGTTATGTTAATGATATACGACTTTTTGGAGCTCATTTTAATTTTTATTAATTTTATTTATGGTTGGCAGTTGACATTAGAAAATCTCTCTACTTAAGACTAGGATTACCATTTGATTGGCCTCTTAAGAATTACAAATGCCTTGGATTTTTCAACAACAACTGATAGTTCAAAGAGGAACTCGATATGAAATGGTAAATGTCCCATTTCAAATGAAAATAGGTGATAGAATGTTTGAGTTTGGGCATTAACACTTCTTCCCTCTATTATCTTCGTTTATCATTGCGTACTATCCTCTAACTCTTTTGACACAATTCTGGGCAAATCAGTTTCTTCTTTGTTGGAAGATGTACATACTGCAATTCCAAGCAATGGTGGTTAGTGGATGAAATGATCTTATTGTAATTTCCTTTTTTTCTTTTTTTCTCTTTCTCGTGGTTATTTTCCTTATTGAAATTATGATGGTTTGCAGTCTCAGGTGGCATTATCTCACTAGTTCAAAGTTCTTATGATTACCATCATTATCTTCAAGATGGCTTTGATGACTCAATAGTGGATTTTCTTCATTAATATTCTCATTGTTTCATTATGAACGTGATTGTATATCTTAGTAGTGGTTCTCAGAGTACTGCATTCACCTTCTCTTTAATTGTACTTCATGATGCAGTGTAGATAGGGGTAAAACTATGCTCCTTCATCAGTTCAATTTTGTGTCATTGCTGTTCTTTGTTGTTTCATTATCTGTGAATGACATGTCAAAAATTACATTTTTAGTACCCTGAGACGACTAGCACTGACTTATTATTAATTTATTGATGGATCTCTTTTCTAAAGTGATTAATATGACTTGGGCTTTTAACCTTATTGTAAGTAGAAAATAGATTTTGACATGGTGACAGCATTTGAATTTGTGATCCTTAAGGTCAAGATGCTTGTTCCATATCTGTTTTTATAGTACATCAGAATTAAATTTACCCAAGAGAGGAAATGAAAAGGAAAATATTCAATTTATTATTTCAATTTATTATCCTTTTAGTCTTGTATTTTAGGTTCTGTAGGTGATGACAACTCCAAAGAGAACAATGAGACCCACAGCACGACAAGCGATTTCTAAACTCCAAGAAAGCTAAATCAGGTTTATAATAAGACCTTGACACGTTGTTTATGTCGCAACAAGAACCAAAGGTAAAAACTTTGACTCGTTGTCTATGACGCAACAAGAACCAGAGGTATAAAGTTGGTTGACGCCACACCCTCGAACGATTAAGAATGAGAATGATAAGTCAGATTAGAACACCACAAGAATAATCTTGATAAGTTCTGTAAAGTTCTGAAATGAACCAAAGAGAAAAGTCTCTCAAAATCTCATATTCAATCCCCCCAATTAGGGTTACAAGTCCCTTTAAATAGGGAAAAGTAATTCTAATCAGAATAGAAAACTAACACCTTAAGCCCTAATCATAATAACCACAAATTAGGCCTTAAATAATGAATGTTCAGCCCAAAATAATATAAAAAACATGAAAATCACTAAAAGTAGCCTAAAGTAGCATGAAATATCAGTTTGTTACAAATTGCAACAGAATTGCGAGATTGACGCAAACTGGGTAATTTACCATAAATGACTTCAATTAAGCTTCTCTTGAACCTAAATGATATTTATCATGCCTTGATAATCATCCAAGCTTCGATTTGCTTGTTGTATGTTGTTTTCAACCCAAATCTGCTCAATAAGGCCATTTAAAGCTTCACGCATATTCTTAGCTCTAGCTCGCGTGACTAGACCTCCTGGAATATGTAATGGATCTCTTGACTTGGTACATGTGGAGTCATCTTGATTCCCATCATTCCCTCTGTCCTCAAAAGGATATGTCCTCAAATCGTCACCTACATCAAAAGGAGAAAGATCAGAAACATTAAAAATAGCACTAACATTATACTCACCAGGAAGCTCCAACTTGTATGCATTGTCATTTATCCTTGCAATCACTTGAAATGGTCCATCGCCTCTTAGTTGCAAGTTAGAATGCCTTTGTGCAGGGAATCGTTCCTTTCGCATATACACCCAAACCCAATCTCTAGGTTCAAACACAACTTTCTTGCACCCTTTGTTGGCCTAATTTGCATATTTCTCAGTTCGTTGCTCTTGCATCAAAACAGTGCCAATGCCAATACTTGATGCATCACATTCAATTTCAAAAGTTTTAGTAAAATCAGGTAAAGCAAATAATGGTGCAGAAATTAAATTCTCCTTAATCAAATTGAAAGCATTCTCTTGTCCACTTTCCCACTTAAATCCAAAACTTTTTTTCACGATTTCAGTTAATGGAGCTACAATTGTGTTGAAGTCCTTGACGAATCTCCAATAGAAACTCGCCAAACCATGAAAACTCCACACCTCAGAAATATTCTTAGGTGTTGGCCATTCTTTAGCCTTAATCTTTTCTTCGTCTACTGCAATTCAATCAGATGAAACAACATACCCTAAAAAGACAATTTGATTTGTGCAAAAGGAACACTTTTTAATGTTAGCAAACAAGTTTTCTTTTCTCAAAACCTCTAATACCATTCGCAGATGCTCAATATAATCAGTTAAACTTTTACTATATATCAGAATGTCATCAAAATAAACAACCACAAATTTGCCAATGAAAGCACGCAAAACATGATTCATTAATCACATGAATATACTAGGTGCATTAGTTAATCCAAATGGCATAACTAACTACTCAATAAACCATGTTTCATTTTAAAGGCTATTTTCTATTCATCACCTTCCTTCATCCTAATCTGATGATATCCACTCTTTAAATCAATTTTAGAGAATATGCAAGAACCATGCAACTCATCTAACATGTCATCTAATCTAGGAATAGGGTGACAATACTTTACAGTGATTTTGTTGACCGCACGACAATCAACGCACATACGCCAAGTCTCATCCTTCTTAGGCACAAGTAGCACTGGAACTGCACATGGACTCATGCTTTCTCTCACATGTCCCTTTTTCATGAGGTCTTCAACCTGCCTTTGAAGTTCTTTCGTCTCATTGGGATTGCTTCGATATGCTGGTCGGTTTGGAATTGTTGCACCAGAAATGAAGTCAATTTGATGCTCGATTCCTCTTATTAGTGGTAAACCATTAGGAACATCATTTGGAAACACATCCTTGAAGTCTTGCAAAAGAGATTTAACAACACTAGGCAAAGAATCATTAAGTTCGTTAGCGTTGAAATAAGCATTTTTATACAGAAGCACAAACATAGGCTGGTTTGCAAAGAACGCAGCCTTGACATCACTTTCTTTTGCATAAACACTTACTAATTTTCTCTCTTTGTTTTCAACACTCTTAATCTTTTCTCTCTTTTTGGACTCTTTTTCTGCTGTTTTCTCTTTGTTTTTTGTACCCTCAAGCTCACTTTCATTTCTTAGCGCACTCTTTTTTTTTACTCTCAGTTGATCCTCATAAACCTGCCTTGGACTCAATGGTGCAATAGTAATTGTTTTCCCTTTCATGATGAACGAATAGCGATTTTTGAAGCCATCATCTGTTACTCTCCTATCATATTGCCATGGTCTCCCCAAAAGTAAATGTCCAGCATGCATAAGAACCACGTCACAAAGTACATCATCCTTATATCGTCCAATAGAGAATGAAACCAGAACTTGCTTATTTACCTTGATTTCTCCACAATCGTTTAACCACTACAACTTATATGGCCTTGGATGATTCATCATAGGTAAATTAAGCTTTTCAACTAAAATAGTGCTAGCTGCATTAGTACAAATACCACCATCAATAATCACACTACATACCTTGTTTTTGACATGGCACCTCGTATGAAATATATTGTCACATTGTACTTCATCATCTTCTTTGGCTTGCACATTCAAAGCTCGCCTAGTGACAAGCAGTTCTCCATCAATGGCATATTCCACCTTCTTTTCCCACTCCAAATACACATCTGGATCATTTTTGCCTTGAAATGGAGGAATCCTCATCTTGATGCTGCCTAGTCATGATCTTGCCGATCTCCCCACCTTGCCAGATTTTGGTCTCCTTTGTTAAATCTATATCTTTGACCCCTTCTACCTCTCATAAATCTGTCCATGCTAAAATTTGAGTTCTGGGCATCATCATTGAATGCATCTTCATCATTGTCATCAAGATCGTGATTATGCAAATTTGGACTTCCATTCTGTAGTTGGTATAACTTGGCAATGGCTGCATCTTTCTTTTCCATTTTGTCTTTAATTTCACCAAACATGATGTCTAGCCTCTGAAATTGTTGTTGCATAGCTTTGAGCATGAAGGAATCATCCACTTGCTGTTTTCTGTCATCACCGCTTGACATGATTGAAACCTGCAAGGAATGTTAGAAACAGAAAATAAAAAGACCTCTCAACACTCCCTTACCTGTTTCACTCCACTCTCTCACAGAATGGCACTCAACGCTCGTGTTTTGCACACTATAGAACTTGGCTTTTCTCTCAAGTATTGCTCACACCTCTTGCCTTTTTCCCTCACTCAACTTTCCTCTTTTAGTTCGTTATTGAACTAAACAAGCTCAATTCAACTTATTTTGTAGCAATCTAACTCCAACAAATCTGCAAGAGTTAAAGGAAACAGAAACACACAAAGGAACGACCAAGAAAAGCAATAAAAAAACCAACCCAAACAAATTAAAATGAATAGATCAGTTCAAGCACTTCCTAGTAGGAATTGATTTGACTATTCCTTAATGTAGCAGGATTGCTAACTTAGGAAGGATAAACAAAATTGCTATTTCCTTATTTCAACAGAATTCAAAGAAAATTTTCCAACTCCTTATTGTAGTAGAATTCCTTCTTCCAACTTTTTACTGGAGTAGGATTCCTTCTTCTTTAAGGATTTGGCCACCAATTTATTTTCTATATAAGGAATTCCAACCACAGAATTGTGTTGCTTGTTTCTCTCTCCTTTTTTTTTTCGTTCATTTTTCTTTTCTTTTTTTTTTCGATTCTTCTTTTTTTTTTCTACGACTTCTCTCCTCTGATTTTTTTTTTCGTGCTTTTCTCTCTCTGATTTTTTTTTCTTCAGAACCATTAACACAGATTCAACAGAACAAGATGAAAAGAGTTGCAAACAAGAAAGAAAAGAACCCTTTTTTTTTTTGATGTAAAAACTGAAAACTAAAGATACACAAACCTGATTTAGGGGTCTGATGCTCTGATACCAAGATGCTGAGAACCCCAAAGAGAACAATGAGACCCACAGCACGACAAGGGATTTCTAAACTCCAGGAAAGCTAAATCAAGTTTATAATAGGACCTTGACCCGTTGTTTATGTCGCAACAAGAACCAAAGGTAAAAACCTTGACCCGTTGTCTATGACGCAACAAGAACCAAAGGTAAAAACCTTGACCCGTTGTCTATGACGCAACAAGAACCAGAGGTATAAAGTTGGTTGATGCCACACCCTCGAACGATTAAGAACAAGAATGATAAGTCAAATTAGAACGCCACAAGAATAATCTTGATAAGTTCTGTAAAGTTCTGAAACGAACCAAAGAGAAAAGTCTCTCAAAATCTTAGATTCAACCCCCCCCCCCAATTAGGGTTACAAGCCCCTTTAAATAGGGAAAAGTAATTCTAATCAGAATAGGAAACTAACACCCTAAGCCATAATCATAATAACCACGAATTGGGCCTTAAATAATGAATGTTCAGCCCAAAACAATACAAAAAACGTGAAAATCACTAAAAGTAGCCTAAAGTAACATGAAATATCAGTTTGTTACAAATTGCAACAAAATTGTGAGATTGACGCAAACTGGGTAATTTACTGTAAATGACTTCAATTAAGCTTCTCTTGAACCTGAATGATGTTTATCATGCCTTGATAATCATCCAAGCTTCAATTTGCTTGTTGTATGTTGTTTTCAACCCATATATGCTCAATAAGGCCATTTAAAGCTTCACGCATCTTCTTAGCTCTAGCTCGCGTGACTGGACCTCCTGGAATATGTAATGGATCTCTTGACTTGGTACATGTGGAGTCATCTTGATTCCCATCAGTAGGAGACTTTTCATTTTTGAAATCAATATTTGTTAGGTTAAACCCCTATTTTGGTCCCTGAACTATTGTACAGACCCCCCGATTTGGTCCCTGAACTAAAGAAATCCCTAATTTGGTCCTTGAATTATTGTACGGACCCCTGAGTTGGTCCCTAAACTATTGTACAAACTCCCAAGTTAGTCCTTAAACTATTGTACAGATGCCCAATTTGGTCCCTACTGTTTACCAATTTAACCTCAACTTGGTCTTTCTGTTAAATAATAGTTCAGGGACCAAATTGGGGCAAAATTGTAAATAGTAAGGACCAAATTGGGGGTCCGTACAATAGTTCAAGTACCAACTTAGGCCAAATTATAAACAGTGGGGACCAAATCGGGGGTCCGTACAATAGTTTAAGGACTAAATCAAGGATTTCTTTAGTTTATGGACCAAATCGGGGGTCCGTACAATAGTTTAAGGACTAAATCAAGGATTTCTTTAGTTTATGGACCAAATCGGGGGTCCGTACAATAGTTTAGGGACCAAAATGGGGATTTAACCTATTTGTTATGAATAAGTGTCTCTGTTAGTGACTTGAAGGATGTAGAAATCCATGTTCAAAATGAGTAAATGCTCTCTGTTAATGATTTGTGGGATATAAAGGGAAATTTAGCATGCTATGGTGCATTTCTTGTCTAGTATAAATGAGAAACTCCATTAGAGTGAACTTTTGACACATAATATGGTGTAAAAAACTTCATGTGCTAGATTTACATTTTTCTTTTTTTGGTGTGTGTTTGCAGGGATGGATCCAGCATTGTGGTAGTTGGAGCCTGAAATTTCTTTGTTTGAATTTGGGCTCTCCAAATTCAATATCCTTATGGGTCTTTCCAGGAACATGAATTTAGTTTATTTGAATTTGAGGCCTCTAATTTCAATATCATCATTTGTATCAAAATAGATAATGGGAGGGAGGCCCTCCTCTCACAATGTATTTTTCATCCAATTTTGCTCTCCAATGTTTCTTTCTACCTTCATCTCTCAGGAATGGGTTTATGGTCATTTTTCCATGAAATATTTTTGTCCATTGTTCACGGAGTTTGCTTTCTCTATTTTGCCCTCGGTGCTGTGTTCTTAGAACATGGCTTTTGGGTTTTTTGCTCTTCTGTGTTTTTGCAATGTTTAGGCCAGTCTATTTCCTTTTTTGCGTCTGATTCAGTCTTCTAAAATCTGATCTTTGGTCATCGATCATGGAAAAGGAAAATTGTGTTCATGGTTTCAGTTGGATTTTGATATTTGAGCACCTCAATGGCAATCCTCCTTGTGGTTTCACATTGGGCCTTCATTGTCAAACCTCAGGAAGTATTACTTGTCCTTTGGTGCTCATTGCTTGGTTTGATTTTGCGCTCGGAGTAGATCCTGATATCTGTCAGGTAAATGTTTTTTGCTTTTTATTCGGTATTCTTTTTCTGGTGCAGATTTTGGGTTTCAAGAATTAAGTTTATTCTTTCCATTTGCTGTTGATTTTGAGAGGAATGGTGGGTATTTGGATTTGTGTTAACGTGCCAAAATGGATAAAGTCGCCATCTATCCAAATGAGTTGGGATAGTTCACCAAGGTATACCTAGAAGTTGACTAGACTCGGAGGCTCGGTTAAGCATGGGGAAGGTGTTAGATACCCCACAATTTCCATATAATATGGTTACCACACACTTTAATTTTGGGGAAGTTTTAAATTTATATGGTTAAATACCCTTTTTGGTCCCTCTACTATAGGAAAAAGCCCTTTTTTAGTCCCTGTACTGAAAAAATCCCCTTTTTGGTCCTTACTGTTCACAAATCCGGCCCCTTTTTAGTCCCTCCGTTAAATTTTAGCTGACGTGGCAAGTTAATTAACGGAAACACTCTTTTCTTTTTTTTATTAAATTACGTGGATTTTCCACGT